CATTATTTTTATCGTTTATTACGTTGTAATTAATAATATCTCTAATTTACATCATTTTCACACCTATATTATATTGATATCAGTTGGTCAATAAATGGACCACAATCCATATTTACTGATATCAGTTGGTCAATAAGTGACCACAACCCATATTTACTGATATCAGTTGATCAATAAGTGACTACAATCCATATTTACTGATATCGGTTGGTCAATAAGTGACCACAATCCATATTTACTGATATCAGTTGGTCAATAAGTGACCACAATTGGCTGATATATTTCACTTGCTACAACTAATGACCGTTACAAGTTCGAATAATTGGTCCATTAGTAGAAGAAAGCCAAAAATAAATAAATTTACATACATACAGGAAAAGCAGCTTCACATGACTAATTATCATTATCTAATTGCTCGATATATCCTTTAAAAAAAAAAAGTGATATAATTATGTTAGCAGAATAATTTAAGATCGTAAATTATTGATTAGAATTTTCGTAATTTACTTCAAATATTTCTTTTACAAATAAAATTTTGTTAATTAAAATAATGCTTGCATGAACATTTACAAATAATAATTGTTTATCATGATAATAATTATTTATCATGATAATAATTGCAGTTGGAAAGTGTTATGGTTGTTGGTGAAATAAAGGAACGCTTATATATATCCGAACCAACTGGTGCTTTTGCTATCGAATGTTCTAATTCGCGAGCTTTACGCTTCCTATTAATTAAACTGTTGACAATTTCATCTTTCCTACAATCTGCCACAACTAATATTTCCAATGCAATATATTATTTGCAAAAAGAAATTTCGAAAGTAAACGAAATGATTAATTCGGTATTTATTATGCTTATTTATTATTTATTAATAATAAAAGATTTTAATATTAATTATTTACTTGATATTATTAGCTGTATCGATCAGAATTATCAGATATCAGATTATCAGATATCATCGATTATAATGTTTCCTATTTTATCTCCCATGTTTTTATATTTATTATATTATCATTAACTTGTTATTAAACAATTATTCGTTATAATATACTTAATGTTCATACGTATTTATTACTATTAATTATTATTATTTATTACTTATTGTTTACGATTATTTATTATTATTTCTTATTATTAATTATTATCATTCAATACTATTACTATTAAATTATCATTTGTCTTTTGCCAACATCAAATGCATTATATTAAAAAAAACTTATTCGTAAGATTAATCGATTAATTACTTAAAATAATAATTGATCATTTACAAATATTGCTATAACCTAAATAATAATGATTATTAATGATAATAATAATAATAAAATAATTAATAATAATTAATAATAATGTATAAATGTAAATGAAATATATATTTTATAATATAGTAATTAGAACGATAGAATAATTTTATTCAAATGTTTACCAAACGTTAAACTAAAATTTGCGATGTTTTAAGCTCAAATATGGAAATCGAAGTATCTTATTTTAAGAGTATGTCTTTTTCTGTTTACTTATTATATCATTTCTAGGTAGCACATAAATGAAATCAATCATATCTCAGATCAAATTTCCTCCTGAAAAACTGAAATGCAAGAAAATGTACACATCTTCCAAAAAAGAATACCTTAATTATAATAACTCTTAAATTTAATAAAACAAAAAATTTAGAAGGTTTCCGCTCTTTCATATTTATTAATTACCTTTTCATTCAAAAATAATAATTGAAATTTATATCACTTTTTAAATCATATTTTAAACCTTCTAATTTTTCTTGATGAAAGATAATTAATTTCTTTTTTTGCAAATATTTACCTGATATTTGTTCAATTTAATTTCTGTACAATTTAGTGATATAATTCAAATCTCTTTTTTTCCTTTTTATATATTAATAATTTCAAATTTAAATATATGATTTTTTTAAACTTTAAACTGTTTATTTATTATTCTAATAATTTACCTTATGATTAATTATAATTTATTACTTCTAATATATTATTCTTTCAAATTTAAATATATGATTGTTTTTAACTTTAAGCTGTTTATTTATTATTATTCTAATAATTTAGCTTATGATTAATTATAATTTATTACTTCCAATATATTATTCTTTCAAGTTTAAATATATGATTGTTTTTAACTTTAATCTGTTTATTTATTATTATTCTAATAATTTACCTTATAATTAATTATAATTTATTACTTCTAATATATTAATCTTTCAAATTTAAATTTATGATTATTTTTAACTTTAGGCTGTTTATTTATTATTATTCTAATAATTTAGCTTATGATTAATTATAATTTATTACTTCTAATATATTATTCTTTCAAATTTAAATATATGATTATTTTAAACTTCAAATTGTTTGTTTATTGTTATTCTGGAAATTTACCTTTATTTTTAACTTTAAATTGTTTGTTTATTGTTATTCTAACAATTTACCTTATAATTAATTATAATTTATTACTTCTATAATTCATTCAAACTTTTCAATATAATCCAAATTAAAAGAATAACAACTAATTATCTCTTTTTTGTTCAAAAAATAATAATCATTCATTTGTTTCATTTTTTCTGAATGCTTAGCTGCCAGTTGTTTATTTACTTATTTAGTTGAGCTTTTATTTTCTATTCAGAAAAAATAAACAAATAAATCAAAACTTTACTATTAGTTCGTTGGGTGGGGGGGGGGAAAAAAGCACGGCTGGCAGCAATTGTTAGTTGAAAATTTGATAAAAGGAGAAAGAAAAAAAAGAAAAGAGGAAGTTTAACCTCGAGGGTACGATATTAACATTAATCATTGCATTGAATTCCGAACGGGGTGGCAGCTATTTTTAATTTCAGAAAAATTGATTTAATTTTTTTCAAGTTTTCTTTTTCAAAATAAAAATGTGAGAAGCAATCATTTTATAATATAATATAATATTTTATAGTATAATAGAAATGCTTTAAGAAAAAATTTATTTTAATTTCAAAATTTAAAAATGTTTGTCTTAAAAAACTTTATTCTTTTCATATTAAATTATGCAACAATTCAGAATGGAATAAATAAATTGAAGAAATTTTTAAAAATTCAAAAATTTTATTTTCCAACCAACCAAGCATTTTTTAATTGAAAACAATATTTTTGTTAATTAATTACTAATTAATCAATTCCTATTTTGATAATATAATTTTTGTGATGAAAAAATTTCATTGAAATTAAGGAAAAAATTGAAATGCTTTAATTTTATCATATCAATTCTATTTTTTCCTTAAAGCTAATACGTTCACTATTTAATTGAAAACAATATTTTCNTTTGATAATATAATTTTTGTGATGAAAAAATTTCATTGAAATTAAGGAAAAAATTGAAATGCTTTAATTTTATCATATCAATTCTATTTTTTCCTTAAAGCTAATACGTTCACTATTTAATTGAAAACAATATTTTCATTAATTAATTAATTAATCGATTCTTATTTTAATAATATAATTTTTGTGATGAAAAAATTTCATTGAAATTAAGGAAAAAACTGAAATGCTTTAATTTTATCATATCAATTTTATTTTTTCATTAAAGCTAATACGTTCACTATTTAATTGAAAACAATATTTTCGTTAATTAATTACTAATTAATCAATTCCTATTTTGATAATATAATTTTTGTGATGAAAAAATTTCATTGAAATTAAGGAAAAAATTGAAATGCTTTAATTTTATCATATCAATTCTATTTTTTCCTTAAAGCTAATACGTTCACTATTTAATTGAAAACAATATTTTCATTAATTAATTAATTAATCGATTCTTATTTTAATAATATAATTTTTGTGATGAAAAAATTTCATTGAAATTAAGGAAAAAACTGAAATGCTTTAATTTTATCATATCAATTTTATTTTTTCATTAAAGCTAATACGTTCACTACGATCGTTACAATCAGAATGTGAATTGGCTCGCGATTTAAACGATGAATTAGAAATGAGACAATTACAATTGTTTACATTGAAATATCGTTTAGCTGCAATTTCGGATATTAATTTTCCAACACCATCGGTATCATTAAAATAGCATTATTTATTTGTCGCATTATTTTATTTGATCTCTTTGTTCATTTTAAAATGAGTAAAATATTTCTGTTCTAATTATATAATTAATTTTATTTTATAAATTAAAATTTCAATTTTGATATTTTAATTTTAGTGGTAAATTTGCGAAATTAAAAGAAAACCTCAATATACGATAAAATTCTTAATTATGTTTTATCAAATTTTTTTGCATTCGTTGCAAAATTGCTTGTTTTTCTAATTTCAGGATTTTTTTTTAATTTTAGGAGAATTGCTTTTTTAATTTCAGGAATTATTATCTTTTTAATTTTTAGGAAAACTTACTTATATATTTTTTTAATTTCAGGAATTTTTTTTTAATTCAGGAAAATTAGCTTTTTTAATTTCAGGAATCTATTATTTTTTTAATTTCAGGAAAACTTACTAATATATATATTTTTTTTTAATTTCAGGAATTACTTAGCAAAATTTCATTACGTACGCTGCGTCATTTAAATTCATTTGGTGGTGCTGCCATATGTTCTCTTCATTTATATTTCCTTTGTAAATCACAATTTCAAATGTTAGCATTTTTAGTTAATTTGAAATTTAGCATAAAAAAATATTTTTATCAGTCAACTTTTTATTTTTAATTAACAGGCAATGATAAATAAATGTTTATCACATACATTTAAAATACCAATTTTTATGGCAATTTGAAATTTCATTCTTTCATTTTTAAACGATCGTAAAAATTTTTTTAGGTTAAAAAATTTTTTTTTTTCCGAAATATAAATTTTAGATGGGAATTTGAAATTTCATCGAGCATTTTTTAAACGATCGTAAAAATCTTAACAGATTAAAAAAATTTTTCATTTTATATTTCTTTATTGTTTTAAAATTAACCTCTCATCTTTACCAATGTTTTCAGTAGTAAAAGATTATGGAATCATCAAGAAGAATTGATGTTAAATGTTTCACAACTTCATACACTTTTTAATTGCCAACCTTCTAATGATACCGTAAGTGTACTACTTCCATCCGGTTCTATGATATATCTTCAACAAACAAGCGCCGATAATGTGAGTGAAATTTTATGCAAGGTGAGTTCATTTTTTTTATCATATCAAAATGAATTAAATTTTATCTTTGGGCTTCATGACATGGATGTTCTCTTGTAATTTAAAATTTAGGTTCAAATTAAAATTAATTTAATTATTTATATTTTAATTAGAAAAGTTAAATTTATTGCTATTTCTTTTATAATTCAAAATTTAAGTTCAAATTAAAATTAATTTAATTATTTATATTTTAATTAGAAAAGCTAAATTTATTGCTATTTCTTTTATAATTCAAAATTTAAGTTCAAATTAAATATTTTAATTAGAATTTAGTTATTTATGTTTTAATTAATTAAAAGAGTTAAATTTATTGCTAAACATTAAAATCATATGGTAATCAATTGTTTTTCCTGAATTTTATTTTATCTTAATTACTTTTCTAGCATATTCTATCAAATTTTTATCAGTAATTAGATATGTTGAGAGTTTTTTCCTTTTAGGTTTGCGAAGAGCTAAAACTTGATCCGGAAAAATACTACATTATAAGAGAGGGTCGTGATCGAGTTCGATTACAAGAGCGAGATTATCGATTGCAGAAGAAAGAGCGAAGTCTTGGATTAACTATATCAGCTAAAATGTGTAGTAGTGGTGGAATTAAGGTAAATTACTACCTGAAATTATTTTTCAAAACTAGTTAGAGGCTAAATTTTAATAACACTTAAATATTGGATGATAATAATAAGAAAGAAATGAAATGATTGAAATGAGCAAAAATTTGTTGAAAAATTTTTCAACATCTTTCAACAATCATTGAATAAACAGAGAAGGGAAAAATAAACAAACAAAAAAAAAAAGAGAGTGTAATTTGAAAATATTGATAATTTAAGTATTGTGATTAAATTTTGGAAATTGTTAAAAGAGACCGAAAAATATTGAATAAATATTTTGTTTATTTTATAATCCATTTTTTTTCAAATGGTACTTTAACATTTTGTATATTGATAAAGAATTTTTGAGTTTACAATAATTTCTCCAAAATTTTTATTTAATAAGAAATTTGCAACTTTCTTTTTAGTCTGAAATTCTATCCTTTCTATCCAAAAATGAATTATTCAATTCTTGAACGGAAGAGTTATTTCAGGAAATAATGACTTTTCTCCTTTTCAATTCTTTTGTGTTTCATGTAAAGAATAAGATAATGATAATTACAAACAGGCTTACTTAATAGTATTATCTGTTGTGACCTATATTACCTTATCCTTTACATATAGTTCGTTTTTTGTGCTTAGTAAATGTTATATTAATCAATACACGTATTATTATAAATGTTTCAATTTACTAAAAATTATTCAAAATTGTTAAAATGAATATCTTTTACACGGTATAGCTTTAGATGGTGGCAGAAGAATATTTTTTGCACGATATGACTTTGAAGGTATCAGAAGAATATCTTTTTCATGATATAACTTTAGATGGTATCAGAAGAAAATCTTTTGTATAATATAGCTTTAGAAGGTAACACAAGAATATCTTTTTCATGATATAACTTTAGATGATATCACAAGAATATCTTTTGCACGATATGACTTTGAAGGTATCAGAAGAATATCTTTTTCATGATATAACTTTAGATGGTATCAGAAGAAAATCTTTTGTATAATATAGCTTTAGAAGGTAACACAAGAATATCTTTTTCATGATATAACTTTAGATGATATCACAAGAATATCTTTTGCACGATATGACTTTGAAGGTATCAGAAGAATATCTTTTTCATGATATAACTTTAGATGATATCACAAGAATATCTTTTGTATAAATAGCTTTAGAAGGTAACACAAGAATATCTTTTTCATGATATAACTTTAGATGATATCACAAGAATATCTTTTGCACGATATAACTTTAGATGGTATCAGAAGAAAATCTTTTGCATAATATAGCTTTAGAAGGTATCAGAAGAATATCTACTGCATGATGTAACTTTAAAAGGTATAAAAATTAAAATTAATTAATTTAAGGGAATAATTTAAAAATTTCGAAATCGTAGATATTTTGTATATTTGCTTCTTTACAACAGAAATTAACGTTCAATGAACGAAGATCGTCCCTTTTTGATAAATAACATTGTTTTGATTTTAAATTAATGAAAATTTTAAAAATTTTTCATCAATATGAGTGTAATTATTTTAGCTTTAAATTTTCTAACAATTTCTTTCGTCTTTCAATAAATACATTTTACATAAAACTCTCATCTGATATTATTGTTAGTTATAGCCTATAAAATAAAATAATAATACTTTCTCTTTTGTAAAACTTCGCTAATTCTTTTGTCTAAAAAATTTAAGCAATTTTTATTCTGTCATTAAATTTTCCCTTTTAAACATTTCTTTTCCTCTTTCTTTGTTTACTTTTTGTTTCTCTCTCTCTCTCTCCCTCTTTGGTCTAAATTATTTTCCTTTCATATTTTTATGAAGTAATAGTAATTTATAATGATTATTTCACATTTAACAGATGATTTCTTACTTATCCATTTATTATGAAAATTATTTTCATATCGTGATTTCTGTGTTACTAAATTAAATCCTTTTTGAATATATGTAAATTTGACTATACTTCTTGAAAACATTTAAAGGATAATAGAAATAATTTAAATGAATTATTAAGTGCAACATTATTTCCGGATAAAAACATTTCCAGTTTTTACTTGAAGTATTTTTGAAGAATGGATTTTTTTAATACACAAATAAAATTAATAGTTAAAGTTTACTTCAATTAAAAAAGAAAAATTAATAGTTAAAATTAATAGTACAAATAAAATTAATAGTTAAATTTGCTTATTACTTCAATTAAAAAAGAGAAATTAATAGTTAAAATTAATAGTACAAATAAAATTAATAGTTAAATATACTTATTGCTTCAATTAAAAATTGGAAATGTTTCGTTTTAATCCTTATTAGTAGAAATATTATAGCTAGTTAAAAGCTTATATTATAGCTAGTTAAGATAACAATGATAACAGTGAAATTCATACTTTTGAACGTTTCTAATTTTTGTTTAATAATAGATTCAATTAAATGTTTACACAGTTAGCTTATAAAAACTTTAATTTCAGGCTGAAGTTCGCGCAATTCGTGATAAAACAACTTTTGTTGAAGTAGGTGATTTGGTGATAAGCGTTGATAATCGATTGATTAGTTCATTAAAAAGTACTGAAGAAGTGCAAATTTTGTTACGTCACGGTAAGAATCTCGTCCTACGCAAACGTGACGCTATCATTTCGCAATACATCAAACCAAGACCGTTATCTACTCCGACTAGTATTACTACTACCACTACTGTTGCAACAACTTTCGGCAGTTTTTCATTACTACCACCTCCACCACTATCTTCCGTAAAAAACCGTTCTCATAGTATGGATCGAATATCTGATATTACATCCAATACGAATAAAACTGATAAGGTAAACAAATTCCACCTAAATTATGGAAAATTTTGAATCACAAAAAAGCTGTTTGGCTTACTGTTCATATGTATGGAATGATTAATAAATTTCAGAAATATAAATTTATGCAAAATGGAATAATTTAGTAATAAATCTTAATAACTGAATATCTTATATGTTACGAATATTTTCCGATTCCGTTACATTTATAGGATCAACAAAATGAATCAGCACGATCAACACCCACTCGAAGTATTCATCGAAACCATCAGTCATCATCAAATGATCATATATTTCGTCAGATGTCTCGTTCCGCACATGAGAAGCCATCAAGACGTGAAGAATATCGGCATACAACTCCCAATGGTGCTATTTCGGTATCGCATTTTAGTGAGGGAGCGGAAGAACAACTTCTTAAAACAATCAATGAACTTGTATCAACGGAAGAAAATTTCGTGCGTGATGTTCAAAAGGTTTTAATTCTTTCCTTTTTTTCTTCTCTTCCTCTCTCTCTCTCTCTCAATACTAGATATTTTGAATAATTAAACAGGGATTTAATCCAATGAATAAATAAATATGTTTGAATTTAGTTTAGCAATTAAAAATTACGTATAAACAAACACAGGGAGAAAATAAGTAGAAGAATTGTATTATTTTAATTTTTAACATTTAGACGAAATATTCTAATTGATAAATAAAATGCATATCTAATTATAAAATGCATATCTAAGTATAAAATGCATATCTAATTATAAAATTCATATCTAATGTTTTAATCCTTTTCTAATGCATTTCTGAAATGTTTCAAAATTTTCGTATGATTCAAATTTTACGACATCAAAATAAATTTAAATGAAAAACAAAATCATTTATAGTTGGTGAATCAATATTTAAAACCAATGAATTTACTCCTGTTGGAAACAGCTGATCGTTTGTTACGAATTCAAACTTCCTTCTTCTTATCGCTTCTTGATGCAGCCGGAGATGTTGCTCGTTCATTTACAGTCTCACAACAGCAATTACGAGTAAGAACCAGTTTGATCTCGAATTAGAACTGATTCATTTTTAGCTAAATATTTTCATTTATTGTTAGCAAATTATTTTCCATGAATGAATGAATAGTTGTAGAAAATTGATATTTAAATTTAAGCAACTCTGCAATTTTCATATTAAGCTAATTAGAATTTCATTTCAGGATTCATTAATTCGTGTTTCGGCTTTATTTGTCAACAAATGTAGTAAATTCAAAATTTATAGTGATTATTCAGCTGCATATTTACGATTTCAACAGAATAAAAAAGGTTAAGTCATTTTGTCAAATTATATGCAAATTTTTTCGATTGATTTTTTTTTTTTAAAAATGATGATGAAATTTCAAATATCCCCGATACATTCGTTGAGTTCTTACTCATTCTTTCAGATATTACTTGTACTATTTCAATCATTATTAACATTTTATTTTTAAATGCTTAATTTAAAAGAAAACTTATGAAAATTTTAGAATTTTATCATATCATTGATAAATTGTAGAACTTATCTTATGATCATTTTAGAACTAAATGATATTGCAACACGATTGGAAAAATTAAATATTAGCGGTGAACAAAGTGAAAGTGCTCAATCATTACTAATTAAACCAATTCAACGAGTCCTCAAATATCCTCTCTTTTTACAACAAATTAAAGATAACTGCTTTAAAGGTTATTTTTCTTCTCAGAAAGAGAATTACAATTTACATTTTGCTATTTAAAATCATTATTTGCATTTTTAATTTTAACTTTATTCTTTATTTCTTATTCACATAGGTTGCTTGTTTCGTTACACATACACAGGTATATTTCCTAGAAATAAACCTTGAATTTTCATTTTATAACAATTAATTTCGTTACCTATGAAATGTTAACTTAATGCTTCAGTGTAAGATCAATTTGTCGTATTTGAATTTATTTATATAGACTTTATTTAAATTTACCTTCACCGAGTATACACTACTACTGTTATCCTGGAAATCGCATAGTTATAGGATCCGTAGAAAGACAGCAATGTGAACAAGCTCTAATAAGAATGCAAGCTTTGGCGGAATACGTAAATGAAATGCAACGATTAACGGAGCAATACGGACAAACTATCGAGGAAATTTCATCAAAAAATGGAGCAGTAAATTAATTTTAATCAATATTAGAAGGATTATATTACATTCCCTTTATCTCTCAGATAGTTACATATGATACGGTATAAAGTTTTAAATGTAATGCTTTGGCATACAATTATTGATTTTAACCATAATATTAAGATTTTCCCGGTCTAAAATTAAAATCAATTGAATGGCATTTTAAGATTGTAGAAAAAAATTTCATTTTTGTTTCCAGGCATCACGTATGAATTTTAGTCAATTATTAATGTTTGCACATATTAATTGGTTGAATTGTCCCGAGAATCGATCACGTCCGATTGCTTGCGTGGCATTTGTTTTCACCAGTTTAATTTTAATTTTCTGCCCAACACTTTCCAAAAATAAGGTTTCATTTTCATTTGATAAACAAAATGGGAAGGAAATATCATGAAGAAAAGAGATTATTTATTTATTAAGAGATTATTCTTATTAAGAAAAGAAATTGTTTATTTATTTATTTACTTATTTATTTATTTATTTATTTATTTACTTATTTATTAAGAAATTATTTATTTTTCCTCAACTTTCCTTTGATTAATTCATTTCATAAAAGGGATAAATTAATTAATTCATCCATTCTAATGAAATTATGCCTTCTTTTACTAAAATTTTATTTGTTTTATCCTATTCTCATATATCATATTTCATTTAATTCTATTCCAATTAATTATTTCCTTTACTCTCTTTATACTCTCTATTAATTAATCTAATTGCAGACTAAAGTTTATCGAATTTTACCAATTGTTGAAGTTGAAGTAAACGAAAATAACAATCAATCACTTCAATCAGAATATGCCTTCATCCTTATACATATCGGCTCAGCACGTGAGCCGGTCTATCATTTGTGTTGTTGTCAAACGGAAATTAAAAATCACTTCGTTAAATCCATCCGTAAAGCGGCCGCCACAATAGCGTAAGTTTTCAGTCTAATTTTTTGCCTTCCTAAAATTATAACTTCCATTCATCTAAATGACAGAAAGAAACATATGATGTCCAATTTTAAATATATGCTTTGTGTACATTGCTATATTGCTGTTTATTTGATGTGTTTGAATTTTAGTCTATAAAGTGCTAATTCATGAAACCAGTCGTCCGTATGATTCTTCTAAATTCTTAGTTTGAATTTTTTTAATTGAATTAAAAATTTCTAAATTCAAGAGATAGCGATGAAAAACTCTTATATTTGCTTACATATCTAATTCCTTTTGAATTTTGGGTCATATTGGAAATGAAATAGATTACTAAAAAAAAGCTTCAACAAGAAGTGATTTCCATCTTTATCATTTATGATAATAACTTCCTTACGTATCACAGGAAATTCATTTCCATTATTATATTCGCATTGATAATTATTATATTTACATTTTTTTGTTTTCGATGAGTAATATAAAAAAGATAAATTTTATTTAATATTTTTGTAAGAAATTAAAGAACAATGGGATTCCTGATTGATGATACACATTATGTTATTTTATTCATAACTTAAGCATTCATGATATCGCAGATTGTACGGATAAAAATTAGAGAACTAATCGATATATCTATCATTAAATATACGGATAAAAATTAGAGAACTAATCGATATATCTATCTTTAATTATATGGATAAAAATTAGAGAAGTTGGTATTATTTTAAGTGCTGCTAGTTTAGATATTATTTTACATGATACTTAATACATGATACTTACTAATCGATATATCTATCTTTAAATATATGGATAAAAATTAGAGAACTAATCGATATATCTATCTTTAAATATACGGATAAAAATTACAGAACTAATCGATATATCTATCTTTAAATATATGGATAAAATTAGAGAACTAATCGATATATCTATCTTTTAATATTATATTGATTATTTAAATTGATAAAATTTCCAAAGCAACTTTTCATCGTTTTATTAGTGTTTTCTTTTTTCAAGAAAAACGAAATCTTATCTTTCGGTACAGTTGCTTTAAAAGACTTATTTTTAGATATGAAATTCGTCGGGGTTAAATACTCCAGGGAATATCATTTCAACTAGTTTTGATGTAATATCTTTGATTGCTTTTATAATCATACTTTTCTTTCAAACTATCTCTTTGTATGGTAAAGGGAAATTTTAACGTAAATTTTTTGGGGGCAAATATTAATTAATAAACTTGGCATTTTTAAGGATATAAATGTGAAATTTGAATTTAATATAAAACCATTATGAAAAACTAATATGAAATTTGAATTTACTTACAAGATTATCGATTGAAAAATGAAAATCCCTCTCATTTATTTTACCACCTGATGCTAAAATATCGATAGGATAGGATATTTAAATGATAATTGTTTTAAAAAAAAAATGATAATTGTTTAATTTGCAAAGCGGAAAACTTAAAAGAGGCAAAGGATTCTGCGTATTTTGACTAATTAATAACAACAATAATAATTCTAAGATAAAACTGTGCCTTTGTAATGATGATATCAAAAACAAATTCATTCTATAATTAATAACATCAGCTAATCTTGAATTTATTTTCATATTATAAAAATATATTAGGTAGACTAATTTATTAAATAAATTTCATTCGTCTGAAAAAAAAGATATAAATGATAATTTTATAAAACATTTGAAAATAATTATTTTAATAAATCTTTTTTAAGAAAAGAACAACGTCGTCCAATAAGTGGTAGCAGTCAATCGGATGGTGGCTATAGTAGTGAACGTCATATACCGTAATAGATGATGATAATGGTTTCGTTTTCATAATTGATATATTTCAAAAATAATCCAAGAAGAAAAAAGAAAAAGAAGATAATATGATCGATATGAATGATCGACAATGTTGTGATGAGTAATCATCAAAAAGAAATATGATGGTCGAATATTTGAAAACTGAAAATGTATTGTTGAAAAAAAAGAGGAAGAATGTATGCCTCAAAAATAAATGATAGACATAATCTTGTCAAATTATTGATGATATCATTAGTTGCTCATTTCAAATTTATGCTAATGTGCCAAATACTATGTCAATTTTTGTGATATTTTTATACATTTGATGATAATGATCGTATCAAATAAAGTGACAGTATTATCTGAATATCACAATTGTCAAAATGTGATGAATTATAATTAGGATAAAATGGAAGAGTGTGAAATGATGCATGTCAAATAATAATTTTAAGAAATAGGAATAGTAATTGATAGCTCATTAGAAGATAGTTTCCTTTGTAACTTTTTTTATAAAAAATGAAATAAATTTACGAAGCTATCAAAACTATTTATCGATCTCTTATATGGATCAATTACACAAGCATATCGTTTAGGAAGGCTCTATCAATCTAAGTTAACGTAAAAATTTTATTTCCATTTTTAGTGAAGGAAAAAATATCTTCATATTCTAAAAATTAATTTTTCAATATACACATCATATAGAAAAAAAGTATAAACAAAAACGATCGGACAACATTACCCGTTTTATCAAGATTATAAAAATAATCAAATAATCACAGAAAGATTAATCACTTTCCTCAAAAGAATCTCTTCTCGAAATCTAACAATTGCATATATGATGCTGAAGTGAAATGAGAATCCGTGTCAACTTGATAGTCTATTCAGTTATCAATGGCGCATCAAATAAACGTAATGTAAAGTGCTCCGTGCAATGTCTGCGGATATCTTACTGTAAAGAAAAAATGATATTGATAGAAAGTCGAGGAAAATTGAATAGACGAATTCAAATATAGAAAACTAACAGCGATTAGAACGCCGTATGAGCTATTTGACGAGTTTATGTCGTTACCTCATGACTTGAATAAAAGTGATGAAAAATGAACGGATATATCTTTATATCGCACAACTTCTGCTGTACCTAATTTGTTGTCCCACTAAAAAGCAAGACGTTCCCGAATTTTACTTCACACCACAGTAGTCGAAACTCTGGGCCGAAACATTCAACTAATTCAAACTTTCAGAAAATTATACTAAATGAGACTTGCAGAATTCTTTGTGTGAGTAGCAAACTATGATCTATATTGGATCATGTTAGATGAAGAAATGTTAGTCAATCCATTTCCCAGCGTTATTTAAATATGCTGACGTCCACAATGCTCACTTGGAAGATTTTTATTTGTAAATTTTTAAAAGGAGAGAAAATTATTACCGATACAAAACTTTCATAAAAGTTTAACAAGTAGTAAACCAAACAGCGAGCCGCACAGCGTTGAAATTACTCCCATGAATCCAAATATGCTCCCGACTAATTCACGTAACTCAGGATGTACTTTGCTGAAAGATTAAAGGAAAGCAATGAAACTGTTTTTATCAGAAAAACATTTAGAGATTAATGCAGAAGAGTAGAGGTGACAAGATAAAATTAGTCTTAGGAAATCAAATAAACTGAGGCTAATCATCAAGAATAGATGATTTAAATTAAATAGCCTGATCTTTCCAGATTACGATCAAATAAAAAATGATAAATATAGAAGCATGGAATGTATATATCACTTAGGCTTACTAGCCTAAGCTTAAATTAATTTAACGAAGCTAGGATCTCAACGAGAACACAGCATCAACGTCCTTCTACTGTACTGTAAATAACTTGAGACACGGTTATATATCGATTTAACAAAAAGGATTAACGATGATAACAATGCAAGCATTCGCTCATTCGTCGATATGCCGGTTGCTGTCAAAAAGCTAAGATTCACACCCAGTAACTCTTTCAAAATTGGCTAAAGCTCTTGAAATGACCTTTTCGTTAACTCACCCACATTATAACAAAATCTTTCGTAGATCCTATCAGGAGGTCGCATAATCAGCAATCAATGAAGGATGAATGGGCCTTAAGTGTGATTAGATTTTAAGTCTAATCTACTCTAACACTTCGACACACATCACAGACATGCTCACCTGTACACAGACAACAGCTGCACATTGTCAAAGATCGTACATGCACAGATCATGCACAGATCAGCATGTTTGCGGTCAGGATTTTTATATGAAATTATATGATATATAGTGTGCATTTTTATATGTCCACATATAAGCGTAGGCAGGATAATATATGTAAACGAAACAAGGCTGAATTTCGCTTTTCAAAAAAAAAAAAAGATTTACCTTGTCGCATTAATCGTTGCTCTTGTAAACAGAAAACCATTTGAAGTGGAGAAGAGAATCATTGTTGTAATAAAAATTTCGTCATTGCGAAATAATGTGACAGAATGATAACGTGGATTAATATTGCAGAAAAAAAACACTGGAATAGCTAGAAGACGAAGAAACGACAACATCATCAAGGTTTTTCCACTCTGAAATTACCAGTAATTGCAGGAAAACAAGATTACGATGACGGTTTGTGTTTCATGCGATAATATAGCTTTATCTTATGGAAAATAGAGTCACAGGTATTCCGACCGAAACAGATACGGATCACTATAAATCATTTAATCATTTTAGAATGCATTGCATCTGATGCTCGTTAGGTCAGCCGATGTGACCCAAATGAAATCAGTTCGCATAATTTGAAAATAGTTACAAATGAAATCAGTTGGTAACAAATATATCCTGCTTGCTTAAAACTTCGAAAACATATTTCGGAATTCTTCGTGTTAAATCACTACCAATCTTATGCTGGCTACATATTGTGGAAGCTTAATAATTCTTCATTAATCTAAATCATTGGTAACGTGGTATTATACAACATGCAGATTTATCCTTCTGGAGTATTTGGAGTCTTAAATCCTTTATTATCTTCGCCAAGCTCAGCATTTAACCATAGATTACACTGATGAGTTCATCGAAATATTTCTTAATTTTCTCTAGTACAACTATGCGTAATATATACTCGATTTTGCATTTGGAAGTATCAACTAACTGATTAATTAATCAAGACTGTTAGCATATTTGTGTTTCATACGATAATATGCTATTAATTTTATTGACCAAGATTTACCGACAACTTGTCAGCATATCAAATTTACCTCGACATTTTGTATCAACGTATCTTTTAAAGAAGCATACCAGAAGTGGCCAAATATAAGCGTTTTCGAAAATGATGATACCAATCATTTCAGTTTATTAGTTAATTCAACTGCTAATAAAATTGATAACTTACCAGACTAACGAAATTCACGACCAAACGACCCAATGCATCACCACAGTTGAATAATAAGAAGCATGCGAGAGATGAAAAATAATCTGCAAACGAAGACTTCAATGGGAGATTTCGAAATAAGCCAGTAATTATTGGCACTCGTTAATTTATCATTTTCTTAACAAAATAATATCAAATTAATTTTGCCACTCTTTTAAATCCATACAAAATCTAATTCGATTTCTTTTATACCAGCCCACTATTTCCAATATTACAGTTAATCCATTTGGCGTTATATTACTGTGTATTTATTTTGCTGTAATAACTTATTGTTCGAGCAAATTATACCTAATTTTTGATGAACCAGCTTAATTATATCGTGTTTAATTTTGGCATTAGCTTTGCAGAAGTTAACGGATATGAAATTAATATAATTACCTTTCCAAATCAAATTTTTCGCAGTTGTTTGAACTAACGATGATATGGCTGGAAAAGCTGTCATAGTACCGAGAAAAACAATAAAACCAGCCCACCACTCCGTCTTAGTCTGAAATAGATGATATTACTTCATACAGTAAATAATTTTCGATAAGCATAGCACAATACATGAAATAAAATAATGATAGCAGTTCATCATAGTAAATTTTTTTAGAAAATGCGAGACATTAGGAATTCATTATTACATTCCTATATTCCGTTTTAATATGGACGGATAGCACTGGACGAGCGAAAAGATAAGCCTTCAAGAATTTCTTGCTTTTTTTCATTTGCCAAGAAAATAGCAAAGAACTATAAAAGTGGGATACACCAAATAATCCTATGAACTTACTTTTTTCCATATTTGTTTTGCATCATTCCACAACGAATGAGTTTCCACCGAACGCAAATGAAGCGAAAATTCATCCGCCTCGAAAGTGTTATCTACACTATCTAAACACATAAAATTTAGTATTCAGCTTGAATTGAGCAGCACTACTTGTTTTTTTTATGACACTATTACTATCTATCTGAAATATCAAATTCACATTTTGCATTCCAATATGTATAATACATATTCTAAATTAAAGCACTTTTCAACCTTTTGTGAATTAAAAAACAGGAAAATCTCCAAAAAAAAATCTTTCTCTTTACTCGTACCAATAAGTGAATACTCAGCGAAAAACCATAGTGTCCCGTAGAATAGATGAGATAAAACAGTTTAGACATAAAGAGAAATTTTGGAAATTTAGAGAAAAAATACCAAGAAGCTGTTGATCAGACAATTGGTTGGTGAGGCTGTACGATTCGGTTTCTTTCGACCGAATCAATAATTCGTAAAAAAATACACTCAAAAGAGTCCAAATGAAGGCAATTGCAAAGAATAAACGACCATTCACAAGTGCATTAGCTACTAACATTTGGCAAACAATGCTCAACAGCGAACTTAAGATCCCAGCCACAGACTGACCAATCATTACTGCTTGTATCTGCAACAGAAATAAACAATATTCAAAACGCATAAATAAATGTAAACCGAAGTATCCAAAGCACTCCAAAATTTCTATTAAGAGAGAAAAAAAAACAAGAATCTACGTAATTTTGAAATTTACGAGAATGATAAATTTCAGAAATTACGAAAAAATTCAAAACAACAGATCCCTAAATTTCAAAGGAAAGAAGAAAAATTACAATTTCAGACGGAAACTTCGCTGAAAATCCCAAAAGGCCGCAAGCAATCAAACCAATAGAACCAAAACTGGCTAATGAAGCGAGCAACATCGAAATACAGAAAAAAGTTAATTGGGCTATAAATAATATGGCATGATTGTATTGAATATATATTAACATGATATAATAATATTAATAAAAAGAACTGGAGAAGCATACATGAATCAGTATTGATATATGTCAATAAAACTGTAGGAACAAGTGCCAATAGCACGACCATATGACCTGCTCGAATTCGTAATGAATATCCCAATATAAAAAAGAAATTTTAGGAAAATTTTTTTGATAGAAAACACAACAAGGACTTTCTTGTTGAAATCAATCTTGTCTTGAACATTTCATCAGAAGTATACATAACCTGATACATTTTCGAGGTCTCAAACACACCAAGATAGCTTGCAAACTAAGATCAGGCAATTTGAACGAAAAAACCTAAACAACAGTTACATCTAAACATCCTAGTTTATTACATAGCTGTTATTGGTACATAGATTCTTAAACTATTATAGATTGAAAAATGTTATGACCTCTATACTTCTTACAGCCAGAAATTCTCACGATTTCAACAACTATTAACACCAAAAATTCGACGCAAATAAAATGTAAAAGTCCGAGTTGTTTTTAAAAAATAAGAAATTCAAGAATCATACCTCCCTGTTGCCCAAAAATTTATTCCTGAACCAAGAGCGCATGAAACACCAGCTGTAAGGGTAACCCACCCTTCGTAGGAACGCTGCAATTCGGTATCAACATCTTTCTCTTCAATTAAAGTTGTATTTTCGGTAACATTGCGTAGCTTGTAGCGATAATACTGAAAAACATTAGTCTTTTTTTCCAAAAAAAACAACTTAGGCATTATATATTATACTTTTTGGGAAGATAACTTAGAAAGCAATCTGTCCAATATATAAGTTTAACCATTCATCTGACTGCAGACCGAGAGATGACATCGCCTAAATTTGCAGATCCAGACAACTGCCCTGCTCTTATCTATTTCATTTCATATCACTTTATTTATTTGCAATGGCAACATTAAAATACCTCATGTGCATTTATAAATAAATTCCACGGTAATACACTTGTCGCAGAAATAAATACAAATGCGGCAAATATCAGCACTCGATATATATTCATTATTTGTGTTTTTTATCGCATACTCCTAATTTATATAAATCCTCTAAGTTCCTTCGAGATCTTGGAGAAAGCCGCAATTTCTTCATTCATTGTATATGTACACAGATAAACGCTATTTACGCATATAATCCTGAAAACATCGAACTGTCGCAATACACAACAATTATCCACCTTGAAAAGTTTTCAGGTAGAAAGTTTATCGCAAATCGAATTTAGATGAAAGTTTAATTAAAATTTCAAAATGCTCTTGAAATCCAAATTAATCATTTTCATGAAGCAAGAAAATTAATTTGAATTTCACTAGCAAACCGGAAAGAAGTCTAATATTTGGATTAAGAAATCGCTAAGTACTGAACCACAAGTTAAGGTAAACTTTCAGTGCAGTCGTCATAGTCCGAATCGAGGTTTCTCAACTTGAAACAAGAAAGAGTAAAAGAAATTAGTTCAAATTTAAATATCAAGTGATAAAAAAAAACTTCAGTTCAAATATAAATAAAACTCTATAAAAAAAATTAAAAGTTAAAGCAAAGATATAAGAAAAAAATTGGAAACTTAAAAAACAAAAGATCGGAAAAAATTGTTTATAAAAACTAAAGAACGATAAAAATAAAACTTAATAAACCGATATTAATAATTTCTAAATTCCGTTCAATCATAATTTTCATGCTACTTTTCCTGTTCTCAATAAACAACATATACTCTTCGACAACTTATCTCAAACTTGATCTTCAATTTAAACATAAAGAATGAAAGTGGAAAAAGGCAAACTGCAATTAACGCTACACTTACATTGCTAAGCTTATGAAAACTTTGATCCCACCACAGAAATTTTTTTCCGATATAATTGAGGACTGGTAGTAAATAATAATAAGCGATTGTAATAAAATGCAAATTTGATCAATGCCTTCATTTCTGTTGTCTTTTTGAATCTGACATTTTAATATTTTTTGTTCTTGAGAAATATGTAATAATGTAATAAACTATTTAATTATATTGAACGGTTTAAAAATTGAAAAATTAATGATTAGAAAATTGAAAGAAATCATTTAGCAAATTTTTAGTAAAATTAATGTTAATCAGTTTTCCTAAATTATTATTAACCCCTATTGTTACAACAAAACTACAAATAAAATCACTTTTTTCTACTGCAAAATATGACTATGATAACAATAATAATGTTGAAGATAGTAACTTGAAATGTTTAAAATTTCATACTTTCTTATATATCCTTAATTATATATATTATATATCCTTAATTATATATATATATTATATATCCTTAATATATATATATCCTATATATCCTTAATTGTGATATCAATAATTTGAAATGTAATAATTTTAAATATTTTTGAGATTCAAAATTTATATTGCATGAATTATTTAAGTGTTACCTTAAGAGTGATATCAGCAATTTGAAATGTATAATTTTAAATGCATATATTTAAATTTTGAAATTCAAAATTTACATTGCATGAATTATTTAGGTGTTACAAAAATTGAGGGATAGGATGAAGCAAAGGGGAGGGAAAATAGATGATGTGAACTTTTAAGATAGTTCTTGCATCTTTCTTGATATGTGGTGCAATCAAATAATGGTAGTAATACGATGCATTGTCGGTGAAGGAATATTATTTTGTGGAATAGTTCTCAACCTGTTACGTAAGTACCGATTGGGTCAACCGTAAGCTTTTTTGATGACATGAAGGTCGGTACCGTTCATATCTTTCTTTTCGTGTCATATACATATTTTTTCATATCCATCATTTCAAATTCAATGATGAATTATTATTATTCTTACTACACTAAAGCAACTATGCTATATCATTCAATACATTCTTTTTCATCTTCTCAGTTAATTTATAATCGTGTATTTGATTTCTTGCAAAAATTTGAATTTCATTTAAATTCATTTTCATAAATTATTTATGCAATTTTATAAGCATATTTTATAAATAATATTTTAAACAATTTTATTTAAATTTATTGATATAAATTAATTTGCTAATATAAATTTGAAATTTTAATTATAATATTTTACCGCTAAAAATTCTTGCATATCATAATTTCATTTTTCGAATTTATCAATACTGATTATATTTAATTATAATCAGTTATTCTGTAGTCAAACTTAATAAATAAGTAAAGAAGAAAATCATTTGATTACTGTTTAATCGTAATAATCTTTCTTTTGCTATATTTTTCAAATCCAATCTTTTAACTTTTTTTTGTCCACTGAAAATATTAAGAAACAATTAAATAATTAAATCAAATAATTTTCATTTACTTATATCATTTTTTACCTAAATTTCAGGTGAATGCAAATTTGTAGTAATATACTTATATCTTCCAGGTGAATGCAAATTTGTAATAATAAACTTGTATCTTTCATGTGAATGCAATTTTGCAATAATAAACTTATATCTTTCAGGTGAATGCAAATTTGTAATAATAAACTTGTATCTTTCATGTGAATGCAATTTTGCAATAATAAACTTATATCTTTCAGGTGAATGCAAATTTGTAATAATATACTTATATTTTTCAGGTGAATGCAAATTTGTAATAATATACTTTTCAGGTCAATGCAACTTTGTAATAATACAATGTTGAATTCACCGAGCGATTTGCATTCATCATGCAATATTTTGGATTTCAGGTAAGTAAAATATTCATTTTTGAATTCCACAAATTATTGCAAATTAAAAACAAAACTTTTGCTAATAGTTGTAAAAGAAGAAATGTTGGAATTGTCTAAAGAAAATGCTAAATTTAAAAAAAGGCGAAAAAGAAATGAAAAAGAATTTCATTCAATCAGAAAATAATTTTATTATCCTTTTTTGCTCTTTTTCTTTCTCATTCATTAAGAATAAAATTTTAGAAAAATATTTTGAAATATTAAAGAATTCAGAATGTTGCATGTAAGCGAATAGCGAAAGTACTTGCGAAAGTACTATGATTTTCATATTAACGAGTAGAATGAAATTGCGAAAGTACCATGATTTACGTATTAACGAACAGGATGAAATTGCGAAAGTACTTGCGAAAGTGCTATGATTTTCATGTTAATGAATAGGATGGAATTGCGAAAGTACTTGCGAAAATGCTATGATTTTCATATTAACGAATAGGATGAAATTGCGAAAATACTTGATGATCTTCATGTTATACTTCGTAATTCTAATTTTTGAAGTTTTAAATCAAGCTGGAACGTTTTTCTTTGAAGTTTTGAATTGAAAAAAAGTTTTATTGTTTCTAAATATTGTAAATTATCATTAATCATTTCAGTAACATAACAATCAGTAATGGTAAAGAAATTGAAGGAAACAAAATCGATTATGCTGCAGTAAGTTTATTAACATTGAAATTGCAATATTTTTTTCTAAAATCAACAAGTAAACAAATTTGAAATAGTTTTAAAATTTTTTAGCTTAAAGATTTTAGCTTCCTTCAATTTAAAATTTCCAATTAATTGAATTAAAATAGACTTTAATTATATCAAATTACTTAATCAACACAAATTCTAATTCAAGAAATTAGTAATTATCTTAATAATTAATTAAAAAAAAGAAAGGATAAAAAGAAAATCGTGGATCTATTGCTTGATGAGAAAATAGATATTTAATCTGATTAAGATAGAATTTGAATTATCATTTCAAGTTGATAATAATTTAACTAAATGGCATAGACAATACATTCCTGCAGGGATTATCATCTTTTCGTAACTGTTAACTTTCATTCATTTGATAAAATAATTGTTGAAGTTCCTTTTTCTCACGAATATTTTGCAAGTATTGAAAAAAGTTTATTAAGATAATTCGAATAAATCAAGTGGATACATAAATTACATAAATTACGTGAAATACGTAATCGAATCCATTTTATGATTATAAACAAGCATCAGTAATTTCCAAAATACTTGATAAATTAGTAATACATAAATTATATAATACGTGATATACATAATCGAATATATTTCATGATTATAAACAACTATCAGTAATTTCCAAATTACTTGATAAATTAGTAAGAATTTGAATAATCACTTCATCAATTTCAAACTGTTTTTTTTTATAGCTTGAACGAAAAAAATTACGACAAATTCGCAACAATGATGCTGCCCGAAGGTCACGTCAAGCACGTCATGATAAAGAAGTAAAAAATCGTACTCGTATGATTGCGCTTGAACAAGAGAATGATGCATTACGGGCGCAAATTGATGTATTGAAAAAAGAATTGGAACATGTACATTTAATTATTTTAGCAACAAATCTTACGTGGAAAAGATTACTTACAAAATCAATTTTAGATAAGAATTACAATAATATGATTTACTTTTTAGTATAGTCTATTAATAGCAAAGATAATTTGATAAATAATATTTAAATTTAATTAATAAGGATTTTGAATTAAATTATCAAAAATAATTTCGAATGAATTATTTCGTTGAAACATTAAATGGATCAGTAAAATAGCGATATATGATGCAGTTAGTTGAAAGATTTAATCCTATTTTAATAGGTCAAAGTTCACTTACCTTGCATACCATAATTGGACGTATAATAAATCGTCGTATCCTCTGTTTGAATATTTGTTCAATTTTGTCACCCTCCTTTAAATTTTGTGACATTTTTTGCCAGACAAAATTAGATAAGATTATCTGACTGTCTTTAACTTCTCAAAATAAAAATGTAAGGTTTAATTTTAACTTTTATTTAATTTAAAGTAATATGTATTAGAGAGATACAACAATAAGAAGTATTATAAGAATATATACTGTTTGAAATTATTTTTCATTTATTTAAGTTGTCACAAAAGAAAAACATAACTTTATTGCTGTCACTAATTCAAGCATTTTCAATTAGAATTTTAGTTATTAAATAATCACTTAATGTTTCACAATTTGCATATATAATAAATGATTTGCTTTGAATTATTTTTCATCGTTCACTTAGCTTCTAATGTTTCGCCCTAAAATATTCATAAAAGTTATATGTGGAAAATTTTCAACACCTAAATGTAATATTTCCATTCATAAAAGTTACATGTGGAAAATTTTCAACACTTGAATGCAGTGTTTCCATATGTCTTGCTGATTTATGCAAAAAGAAATTATTGAAATTTGCAGTAAATTTAAATTGAAATTCACTGTTTCCTTTGAATTCATAAAATATATAAAAGTTATTTTTATACCTTTGCAAAAAAACGATTTAATAATTTTTATTGTTTTAAGTTAATTAAATTTATCAGAAGTTGGAAGTATATATTTTATTAAATTTTGTTTTAATTATTATGTTATATGTTATTTCTTGTTTTAATTATTATTTTTAATTGTTTCAATTAGTTTAATTATTATTTTCTATTCATATAAAATGAATCGCATAAAAATAAAATTAGCTAAAAATTTTAATATGTAAATGAATCATTTGAAAGGTTAATAATTCGATCAGATTATAAATAATTTGATTCATAAGAAAGATGCTAGTGACCAGTAGCATTACTGTTGCATCGGTCATCGAATGTCACGGCATTTTTATCGTCGGACATTGTTGCACAATATCATACCAACTGCAAACACTCATATACATATGCATACATATATATACTACACACACACACACATAGACTGTTGCATAATCTATCTATTGTACATATAAATTTCATATGAGTCATCGGATATTGAAAAAAAGGGAAAAAATATCGAATTAAAAATTCCGTGATATTAAAGAATGAGTAATTTAAGAAAAAACAAAATGAAAATTAATTATTACCTAAAAAAATTTTTTGGAAAAAATTGTGGTAAAATATCTAAAATTCATTAAATACAACAAATATTAATTAAGTAAATTAATTCTGATTAAATTACGGTAAAATTTGAATTTTAATTGGCATTCAGGTTGAATTAAACCGTATTTATTGAGACCCTTATGAGTTGATATTATCAATAAATTATAATTATAAATTATAATTCTTTTCATGCAACTGTTTTATTTAACATTCCATCATAATATTTTAGGGTTAGAAATAAAATGACTTCAATTCCTATCCAAATTTCATATCAATGCCAAATGTTTCGAAGTATAATTACAACGTTTAAGATCGCTGTTAAGGTGCTTTTGGATTTATCGTCTCAAATTTTGCCACCTGAAAATATTTGAATTGCAAAGAAAATTTAGTACTTCAAAGTATAGTCACAAAACATTTAAGATCGCTGTTAAGGTGCTTTTGGATTTATCGTCTCAAATTTTAGCACCTGAAAATGTCTGTAAAAAAAATTTAATATTTTAAAAACGGATATTAAATATTTTGCCAATAATAAATTTCAATATCATTTCTTTGAGTAGCTTATGCAACAAATTAGAAAAGTGATTAAATAAAAACAATTATTAAATTTAAAATATTATTTAAATAAAAAAGTTTAGCTATCACTTATTGCCAATTGATTCTTAATATTTCTAACCAATAAATTATATGCAATTTATGCAGTTCCACAGCTATTTGCAATTCATGAAGTTCCACAGCTATTGGGAATTTATGAAGTTCCACAGCTATTTCCACCTCTCTTTAACTTCCACCTGTTTCTCTTTTTTGTTTACTTTAAAGTTTTTTTCAACATTAATCAAATACTTTCTATTATAATTAAACTTCTTCTTAATTAATTTCTAATAAAATAATTTAAAAATTTTGTACGATAATTTAATTTCCATCATTTTACTGCAATATCAAATTTTTGCCAAATAATTACCTTCACAACTTTTATTACCTAATTGGAACTGTTCAAATTTGCTAATTAACACAATAAATAAATTGTTGAAAATTAGAGGCTTAGCGATCAATTCGAATAAAATGTCGCAACTGTTCGCTTTTTCTAATTATTTCTAAATTATACAAAATATCTCTTGTGCTAGTAATATCGCAAAAAGGTATTAATAGAAACAGTGCTTTACAACTCTTATTACCTAATTGTAATTGTTAAATTTGCTAATTAACACAATAAATAAATTGTTGAAAATTAGAGGCTTAACGATCAATTCGTATAAAATGTCGCAATTGTTCGCTTTCTAATTATTTCTTAATTATACAAAATATCTCTTGTGTTAGTAATTTCGCAAAAAGCAGTGGATACATGTTTTCTTTCTTGAGCTCCTTCTTAACAGAAGAAGCCATAGAAGTGATAGCTTTTATGAAGAAAAGCCTTTGAAGAAGTGAATTGTATAAAAAACCTTCGACTCGAAAACTTTCATAAAATAGTCCCAAATCAATAACTTTGCATATCCTCACATTTTTCCTCCCTCTATTCTATTAAATTTAAATATTGCCTAAATTTAGAATTCAACAAAATTTGTCAAACTTTTCATTTTTCTTTAACTAAAATTCTTCTTTATGCTATTTTCCATTTTAGTGAAATTGATTTTATTATTAAACTTTTGCTTATTAAATTCTGAAATTAATTTTTAATTGATTTGTTATTAAATTTTGAAATTAATTTTATTATTAAATTTTCCAAATAAATTTTTAATGTGTCAAAGATATTATATTTCGATGATACTGTAATATATATATTTCAATTTCTATGATACTGATACTGTAATATATATATATATACATATTTCAGTGATACCAGATATCATTTCTGATATTTTTGGTTTTTCCTCCATTTCATGCAGTTAATATTTGAAACATCATTCGGTCAATTATCGATCATTGATATTAAAATTTCAATTTTTTTTCCAGCATTATTTACAACTTTTAAAGTTTCAAATAAAATGATTAATATTGATAAGGAAATGATTTAAATTATCAAAACTTTATTTACTATATATTTTAGACACTTGTTGAATAATATACTATAATATATTATTGCTAATAATTATTTAATTAATATAATATTTACTAATTAATAAAAAAAGATATTGCTAAATATATTAGTTTTATAAGAAATAAGAAAATTTATTTTTTCAAAAATTTTAATGAGTGAAATTAAATTTTGAAAAGTAATGAACAGAAGAAATTGCTGCAAAAAAATGATTCAAAGAAAATTTTCATTAAAAAAAACAAAGAAATGAAATGAAATTAAATTAATTAAATGAATTCTATCATTCTTTTGACTATCTGTTTAAGCTGAAGAAATGAAAGTAGCAAAAGTGTAAAGTTTTGAAATTTTAGCAAACGCAAAGAATAGGATAATATTGAATTTTTAAATGCTTCTCCGATCCGTCGTTACAAATGTCTCCTCCTCATTCGACAATTCTTCCTCTTTCATCTTTTACTTTTCATCCTTCGCTTTATCATTACTTTCTACTTTATATAGCATATTTATTTTTAAGTAATAATATTATTTAAAATTACTTTATTGCAAAAATATTCTCTGCGAATTTTATTGGAGTGTAAATGAATATTTCGCAATTTAAATTCATATTTCGCAATTTCAATGAATGTTTCGCAATTTGAGCGAATATTTCGCAATTTCAATGAATGTTTCGCAATGAGTAATTTATGTTAATTGCATAATTATAGTAAACAGTAGCAAAAAAAAAACAAAATGGACAAAATTCATAGAATTAAATTAATTAGCAAAATTTCGATGACTAAATTTTTCATTAATTGAATAACATATAATTTAAAATAGTAACATGTTTCGATAAAATGATATGATAGTGAAATATAAATCCTTCAGTGAACCGTTTTTTTACAATATAAATAAGGTATAAATAGAAATGAAAAGGAATTATTAAAATTATAAGTTTAATTATTACTGATTATAAGCTTAACCATTATTGATGATAATTACACTGATCGTAAGATCATCAGTTTTATTGATAATGATAGTGATAAAATGGAATGATAGGATAAATTGAAAATTACTTTAATTAACTTTACATTATTTTAAAAGTATTTCAATATTATTATAAAATTTATTGTTTTAGTTAAATTATAATATAATGGAAAGTTTTAAAAAATGTTATCTTTTCTGTTTGTGTTTACAAATTATTTCAATATAATTTTGGGAATTGATTAATTCTATATTACCACGAAAATATCCCAAAACCTACTGGAGAATATCAGTCTTTGATATTGACTGTCACTATCATTTGATAATGGTCTGATGGATATAGTAATAACCATTATCAAATAATCAGTTAACCTTTATCTCCTTTATGTTTTTATAATTTTCAACTATATTTGAAATGATAATTAATAAAGCAACAAATTTACTTATTGATAATAATTTAAATTTCATCCATTGTACTCAATGTTATGATAACGAATCATTTTGTGAATGCTTTATTTCAACATTATATATAATAATACCTTATTGAATTTTTCCTTTTATCTTAAGGTTTTTT